AACCCTAAACCCCAAACCCTGCCCTAAACACCAAAACCCTAAACCCCAAACCCTTCTTTTTACGTGCTTGCAGCCCTTTCGTTCTGAGCCGGAAGCTCGGCTAGGACCTCGGTGGGTTCCATTGGGTAGTTCTCTAAATTAGGGCCCCTTTCTAGGGTTTGGGGTTTAGGGTTTAGGGTTTAGGGTTTAGGGTTTAAAGTTTAGGGGTTCAGGGGTTTAGGGTTTAGGGTTTAGGGGTTTGCCTTGAAGAGATCTTTGGGGGTTTCTTGAAGGGTACTATGAGGGTTACTGTTTGGGTAGTTCTCTAATCTAGGGTCCCTCTTTAGGTCCCAAACATAGTACGGCACTTATATAACAAGGACCTGAAAGGGACCCGAATTTGGAGAGCTACCCTATTGTAGATCTGCAGGGGGTTTACTAGTAAGGTGAAGTGTAGGGGCCTTAATAAGTAGTATAGGGTTTGCGGGGTATGGCAATAAAGGGGCCTGAATAACTAACTATATTGTTCCTTATTCTAACTATAGTACAATTTACCCCAAAACCCTAGTCTAATTATTTAGGCCCCTACAGTAGGGATTGCAGGGTATGGAATGTCCGGTTCTCTTGAAATTCGAGGCGGCATGTTAAGTGTTCGGGGTTGTGGGCTTAAGGTGTAGGTTTAGGCCTGAACCCTAAACCCTAAACCCTAAACCCTAAACCCTAAGGTTCAGGGTTTAGGGTTTACGGTTTAGGGTTTAGGGCCTCATACCCTCTCGGGGGCGAGTTTGAAGTTGGGATTCCGGCTGTTTGTTTGATGGCTTTTCGCTCTGGTGCTTAGTAGGGAATGGGGGAATGGGTTATAGGGACTACCATAAGGGACCTTAAGGGACTATCATAGGGATCCATTCCCCCATTCCCTACTAAGCACCAGACAGTTTTTCTGACGCGCCGGGGACGGCTCCTAGGCCTTCAGCCCCTTCATTACAGTAGAGATCTTTGTTGCAAGAGGTGTTTAGAGTTTAGGGTTTAGAAAATCCTAAGCCCTAAATCCTAAGCCTCTAGCCAGAGACAGAGAGAGAGAGAGAGAGAGAGGGAGGGAGGGGAGATGCACCGAAGTGTACCAAGAACCTAAACCCTAAACCCTAAACCCTAAACCCTAAACGAACTAACGAACGAGAGAAGCACCGAAACAGACGGACCAGCTTCAACCCTGCGCTCCCACTGGAACCCTTCTAAGAACCCTTTTGAGAACCCCAAACCCTAAACCCTAGACCCTAAACCCTAAACCCTAAACCCTAAACCCCTAAACCCCTAAGCTCTAAACCTCGTAAACAGACCCGAAGCTCTTCAAATGAGTTTTGAAAGCAGAGGCGATGCCTTGTTGGAGCCCTTTTGGCCGACAGGTCCCGTCCGATGGGCATGGGAGTCTGATATGGGAGTTTCCGAAAATGAGGGGTACTTCATTTGGGGGTCCTTAAAATAAGGATCCTACTATATATTTAGGGTGCTAAGTTAGGGTCACTTATTTTCGGAAACCTCCATATAAGGGTTGTGAGTGGTTTAGGGTTTGGGGTTTGGCGGTTCAGAATCTCGCTTTACGGGCTTAGAGCTTTAAGACCTCATATCAATCTAAAAAAAGGTTTCGAGGTGTAGGATCTCGTAGAGGGGATGTTTGTGTGGGGTGACGTCGGATTTCAAAGCGAGACGTAAACCCCGTCGTTCCTTCGTTCAGCCCCCGGTGAGTATAGTTTTTGGAGCTCCCCGGTCTCCGTTCTTCCCCCCTAAACCCTAAACCCTAAACCCTAAATCCTAAACCCTAAACCCTAAACCCTGAACCCTAAACCCTAAACCCTAAACCCTAAACCCTAAACCGTGCGTAGCATATCAAGCCCGGAGCCGACCACCCCGAGGGTGCGAGCTACGAACCGAGGTTTAGGGTTTAGGGTTTAGGATTTAGGGTTTAGGGTTTAGGGGTTTAGGGTTTTAGGGTTTAGGGTTTAGGGTTAGCAGCCCCAAGCCCCGGTCTTAGTGAGCTTTGCCCTTAGGGCTGCCGCAACAAGACCCCCCCAGTCTTCGAGCACACCATACTAGCACCGAAGTGAGCGCTCCATGTCTAGGACATTTTCAGGTGNNGAAGGTCTATATATACCTTATGGAAGCCTTCTAGAAGCCCTATATACCCTAAACTCCATGCCTGTAGTTTCCTTTAACAATGTTCCTGGAGTTGTACAGCTCCCCAGTCCCAGTCGCCGCGCCCGTCCACGATCCAACCCAAAGCCCAAGAAGTGAAAGCTCCGAAGCCTTGGATCTGAAAGCTTTGCTCAACCCCTACTATACGGGCCTTGATAATTGGGACAGGGTTTTGGGGATTATTATACCATAACTAGAATAAGGAACCCCCCAAATAGTGTAGGTAATTATTACGGCCCCTGTATTATGTAAACCCCAGAAAGCCTTCACAAGAACCCTTCGGCCCTTGGCCTCTCGAGGGCTCGGGTGTATTCGCGGCTTCCTCGGTGCCATGGACGCCGTGTCCTGCGAGGAGCCCGGAGGAAAAACAAGGGTCTCGGCAGGGCTTCGGGCTTAGACTGTAGGGTTTGGGGTTTAGGGTTTGGGGTTTTGGGTTGGGTTTGGGGTTTAGGGTTTGGGGTTTCCGGTCGCAAGCAGCACGCCGAGCTGAACGCGACATCCCACTCTAAGACCACACAGACATTGAATCTGCTAGGGTTTAGGTTTCCTTATGTTTGTTTTAATGTCTGAGCTCTCCCTGAAGTCGGCTTGGAGTGTGGAACCTCTCATCTCAGGTCGTCCGGATAGCCTTACCGCTTAGATAAACTCTTGAGACATAAATGCTATTCTAGATTGGGCCGGTGGCCGACGTTGGGGTACCTCCCTTTGTTTGTCTGTGCCGTCAGCGGCCTACGTCGCTAGTAGAGGCGACCTTTACCCTTATGAGGAGGATTCCCGTAAGAGCTGCTTCGCGAAGGGCCTCGCTTAAAGGGCCTCCCCCCTACGACACTTCCCCCGTAAGGGCTCTACAGCCCTGCTAGAGGCGGCCTTTACGCTTACAAAACGAACTTCCCCGTCAGGTCGTACGAGGCCTCTCTGTAAGGCTCCCCCGTAAGGGCTTTACGTCCCTCCTAGAGACGGCCTTTACTTCCCTGGAAAGGGTCTCCCCGTACGCTCAAAATTGAAGGCTGGAAGGCTTAAACTTGAGGACCCAAAACTTAAAATGAAGGACCGGAGCTTAAAAATAAGGACCCGGAACTTAAAATTAAGGCCCGAACCTTTGTTTAATGAGACCTCACAAGCCATTTAGGATCCGGACCCTAGGCTTTTGGGTAATACAATATACTCGTGATTTATTTTGTACGCGGGAAGCGAAGATGCACCCTCCGAAGGGAACCAATGCGGTACGGAGCACGAAGCTAACTCTTCGCGCCCAGCTGCAAACAGTAAGCATCCGTTCTTGAGACGGATGCCGTGGCTGAGCGCGCGTGCGCTGCGATGCCATAGGCACCTACTCTTCGCGACAGGCATCATTTAGTTGAGGGCTTGTAAGCCCCAAAGCCTAAAACCTGAACCCTAAGCCCTGAACCCTTAACCCTCAGCCCTGAAGCCCTTAAGCCCTAAACTCCAAGCCCAAAGCCTGCAACCCCATGTCCTCAGCCTTGAAGCCTTCTAGAAACCCCAATGAAACCCTTCGAAGGAACCCTTCCAGGAGCCCATCCACTACAGGCTTAAAGGAACCCCTAAAGAACCGCTTTAGACCCTTATAGTTTCGGGAACCCCATAGAACCCTTCTAGACTGTTTAGGAACTCTTCTAGAACCCTGAAAGACTGCTTAGGAACCCTTATAGAACACTCACAGACTTTTGTGAACCCGTATAGAACCCTACTTGTCGGAACCCCCGTAGACCCGTCACAGACTTTTTGGGAACCCCTGAGTTTCCTAAACCCTAAACCCGTGTAGACTCTTTAGGAACCCTTAATGTAGGGGCCTGAACAATTAGAAGCGGGTTTTGCGGGGTTCCTTATTACAGCTCTAGTATAATATGCCCTCAAACTCTATTCGAGTTATTCAGCCCCCTACATTACCCAAAACCCCAAACCCTAAACCCTACACCCTAAACTCCTTAGGAACACTTACCCTAAACCCCAAACCCTAAACCCTAAACCCTGAACGCTTCAGGAACCCTCACCCAAAACCCCAAACCCCAAACCCTAAACCCTAAACCCTAAACCCCAAACCCTAAACTCTTTAGGGACCCTTACCCTAAACCCTAAACCCTAAACCCTAAACTCTAGACCCTAAACCCTAAACTCTTTAGGGACCCTTACCCAAAGCCCTCAAGAATTCCGAAGACCTCTCAGGCCTGAGCAGCTGGTTCGTGACGGGAGACCGCGAGCAGGACGCGACCTGAACTTTGCGCGGGCTGTGGGTTTAGGGTTTAGGGNNTGGGTTTAGGGTTTTGGGTTTTTCTGTGAACAGGTCTTCAAGGTTGTTTAACGAAGCGTTTGGCAAGGCCTGCCAGCATTCAAAGGTTTAAGGCATCGAATAAAGGGCTGTACGGCAGCATTTAGGGCCTTTAGGGTTTCATGAAGTTGGCCAAGGGGTTCTATAGGGTTCGATGATCAGTGTCGGAGAGGGTTCTAAGGGCGTCATAAGGTTTAGGGCTGTCATGTTCCAGGTATCTTTTGGTTCAGGGATTTAGAGTTTAGGTTTGAAGCTTTTTGTGGGTTTTAGTGTCTATGCTGCCTAATATTGAAATGGTACTACATGATTATGGACCTTTATAAGCGAACAACGGATGCTCCTTGCGAGAACTTTCCCATATCGCCCGAATTATGCGACCAGAGTAGCTATAAACCCTAAACTAAACATTACATTAAATCCTCTACTTAAACCAGAGGTTTACGAACCCACAGCCACAGAGAACGGGCTTTGGACTTCGAATCCGGAAGCCCTAAACCCTAAACCCGGAAGCACGCCTTTAAGCTCGGAGCCTCTCAGCGTTCCAGGCTCTGAAGAAGGCCGAAGCGGCGTACAGGCAAACCCAGGGTCCTTGAACGTTTAGGGTTTTAGGGTTTAGGTTTCAGGTTGTCGTTGAGGGTTCCCCAAACGCGAAGCCTTTGAATCCGCATCGACCAACTCCAAACCCTCGAGCCTTGACTCCTACATCCGACCACTCCAGACAGTATCCTTTGAGCATGGCTTGCGTACATGCTATCGAAACCCTAAACCCTAAAC